AGTAGCTTAGAGCTAAAATTCCTTCAAAGTCAAATTGATTCAACAAACAAAGATTCAATCTTTTTTATCAAATAATTTGGCCTAAGAAAGTTTTATAATTTTAGAGACAATAATAAATCAATAAATCATATTTGAACAATTCATCCCTAACACACAAACAATTCGTCACTTATATTTTAACTTAAACATTCAACACAAAAACAAGCTTTGAAAATAATCATATTTAAATAATGGATATCAAATTCATCAATTGGAAATTAAACAAATTCAAAATCCTAATTCATAGAAAATAAAATTGAAAAGTAGAAGGAATGCTCCCTGGATTAGCTTCTGCGTTCAAAATAAGCTCAGGGCCGGACCAATGGAATCGCCGTCAACATCAGCCCAAGCTGTCCCTGCCGTGCTCCATTGCCGGAATCCATGGTCGTCTCCACCATCGCCGGACCTAGGGTCGGAACCCTAGGTCGGCACCTGCTCTGCTCCGATCTGTTCTCCTCGTCTCTATCCGTCTGGTATCTGCCTTTTTATAGATTTAGAAGTCAGCTTCCCTTCTTGAATTAGAACTCTATTTCCCCCTTGTTTGAGTTGGAGAAGGATCCTTCTTGCGCCAAGCACGAATTGGTTCCCTTTTTATTTTACTTTCTTCATTATCTTTTTGTTGTTTCTCTTTGTTTACGTGAGTAACAAAAGCAACTAAAAGGGTCAACTATTTGATTTGGCCCAATTAGTATTCTTTTTTCCATTTTGAACTCTATCATTTCACTGCTGTCTTCCTCAACTTTTTAGCCACCAAATTATATCTAAAAATATTCATGTAAAAGAAAATCATACCATGAGATATTTGTAGAATATAAAATGTCCAAAATCATGCATTTTATGTATAAAATGTAAACAATAGCCTAAAATGCTAAATAGAACAAAACAAGTTTATTTAAGTATAAAATGCATATTAATTGTCTTAAAAGTACTAAGAAATGAGAGAATAAAATATGACATTTTGTGACTTAACAACCCAACGAGTTATGACATTGGTTTTTTAAATTTTTAAATTCACATTAACACTTAGATTTTCTATTAAATAAGTTCAAAATATCAAAAAAAAAGTATTAAATCTATAAAATTATTTTATTTTAAACTCTGAATTATTTTTAAATATATAAATAAATATAATAAATTTAAATATCATTAAAATTAATATTTTATCTAAAAATTATTTTATTTTAAACTCTGAATTATTTTATTTAAGTTTTGGGAAAAAAAATAGATAATTATGTAATATCATTAAAATTAATATTTTATCTGAAAATATAAATTTATACACTAAAAACGAGTGGTAAAGTGTATAATTTTGAAAAATTCTTACTTTAGCGGGTCGGTTAGATCGGGTTCGGATTCAATCGGGTTTGACCCATTTTTAGCGGGTCATTCTGGATTCGGTCAACTTCTGGTCATTTCGAGTTCGGTCTATGTCCTAAATGAACCAAATTGCATTGAATTTATATTATGGTTAAATATATTTTTATCACAATTTGTGGTAAAGTGTGTCATTGTTTGACGAATAAAAATTAAAAACAAGAAAAGGCTTTATAATTAGATGAAGTATTATTTAGTGTAAATTTCGTTTAATATAAGCCGACGAGAGAGAGAATATACAAAATTTAAGTTCCTTGAACATCATATCATAAAACACCCAAAAAGGCCAAAACTACTAACACAAGATCTCAAAACTACTTACACACAGGGGCGGACCTACGGTTGTGCAAGTGGGGTCAATTGCACCCACTCAAAAAAAAATTATTTATTAATAGTAGTATGTAATTAGGTATTATATGTAGATTAAGGGCATCCAAGAAAAGTATATTTATATGTGATTAGGTGCTATTTTTTAAAAAATGGAACAGAGAATACCTTTTATAATTGTGTAGAATTTTATGCTTTAATTCTTTTAGATTTGGAAAACTGATTTAACTTTAATTACGAAACTTAATTACAAAATGTTCAATTTTTTTGAAATGTATGAACAAGTTTAATTGTTTTAAAAAGATTCCTAAAATATACTTAGTATTTGAAGAAATTTCTAGAATTAATATTTTAGTTCTTTAGTTTTTTTTTCTTTTTTAGTTAAAGCAATGAACGTATTATATTTTTTATACAGTATTTCAAAAATATTACATACAACTTGCAATATTTATCTCAAAATGCTATTTATTGATACTTTTTTTACCTTGTTTTAAATTTATTGCTATACAAATATCAACATTTTCTTTTTGTGCACAAAATGTGAACCCACCCACCGAAATTCCTGGGTCCGCCACTGCTTACACATACATGCATATTTATACTACGACCATTTTTATTTTTAGATATATAACAAGCTAGGCTTGGCTACATGATAGTAGTACATTTTTCACTTAGCATTCACTTAGACGGTAACATTAAAAGCGGTTTCTTGATTCAGAGCTGCGGCGGCCGCAACGGTAGCCGCCACCCCACCGGGACGAGTGGTATGACCTTCTTTGTTCCTCGCTTCAGCGCCCACCACCCCCACCGCGTCCTCCAACGTCACACCCTTATCATCCACAAGCTTCTCCTTTGCGTCCTTCCAATTATATTCGAACACATCATACAACATTCCTCGTCAATTAATTTAATTAAAGTGGATGAATATTTTGTAACAAGTTAAAAAAAATGGACACTAAATTAAATATATACCGTGAGAACATCACCAAGTTTTGTTTTGAACTCATCCTTGGTAATCCTGGCGTTCCTTGTGGCGGCGCGTTGAGCTTCCGCTCCTATTCCGCCCGGCAAAATCTCTCCCAGACCCGTAGCTCTAGCCTCCGCTGCCTGTATCGCGGCGGCGTCGCTCTGGTCCACCGGCTTGTCACCGGCGGAAATAGCAGTCGCCTCCAGTGCTTCCCCGATGGTGATTTTGTCGCTCACCACACCTTGCGGTGGGCCCACTGGGGACCTCTCTCTCGCCTCCCTTGTATTATCTCCCCGAACATATGTCCCCACAACCTTATAATTTAGACACATTAAATTACTACCACGTATTGATCACATATTTTCAAAATTAAATCAAAAGCTTTACTATGTGACAAGAATATTTTATCTAAGAGGAATTTACTTAAATAATACTAAAATATAATGACTTTCCATAAATAGCACAACATCTCAATGTAGCACTTTTAGTCCTTATGCATTATTCATTATTCAAGCAAATATTCGCTATCACTTGAACATTATGGACATTATTAAGTGCTATTTAGAAAATAAAACAGTTTAAGTGCTATTTAGGAAAATGACTTAAGTTTTAGTGCTAATTAATGCAAATATTTCTTTATCTAATTTGCTTTAAGGAGAAGTACTTACATCGGGTCCGATGGCCTCCACGACAACGGGGCGGCCGCCGACGTTGGTTTGGGAGATGGAGATGCCGGGGTCTCTGATGACGTCAGTGACGTCATCAGGACTAACCCCGGCGAACCTGGCGTTGTGGGAGGCGGCAGACTGCATGACGGCGGCAGGGCCGCCCTTCTGACAGTGGCCGAGGGTGACGTTCTCGGCGGACTGCATGGCGGCAGCGTCTTGGGGTGTTATGGGCTTGGAGGCGAGGTGGCCGGAGGAGACGTCGAAAACGTCTTCATATTTGATGGGGTCTTGCTGGAGGACGTTGTCGGGCCTTCTTGGTTGTTCCTGGCTCATTATATATATCTATATATATGCCTTAAACAAATCTCGAACAATTTGATGAGAAGTAATAGTATTTTTTCTGAGTTGCGAGAGAGGGCAGGGGTAGCTATGTAGATGGGTTTATATATGTGTGTGTGGGCGGGAGGAGCGGTGGGCGGCGGTGCGGTGGAGGACAGATCAGATGATGTAAGGGTGAAACGTGTTGAGAGAAGAAGGGAACACTTCAACCTCTCCAAGTCTCTAGTAGTCTGATAATCTTAATTATATTCTACAGTAATTTCTAGCTTCTTCAAAGTTCAAACTTCAAACACGGAGTATATCCTTCTTTCTATTTAATTTTTTACCGTTACTATCTCCAATTATATATTCTCCCTATTGGTGATTTTAGTGTCATCGATTATCTTGTGTGATTGAATTTACTTAGATCAAACAAGGATTTAAATAGACGTTGTCAAACGAGTTATGAGGCGCGGAGTACGCACTCGTTCAACGATATTACAATTTCATAACGGGATCTGTGGGCGGTAGCCCCCGTGTAGTGAGATCCAAGGAGCGACAGCCCTTAACGGGGTCTAGGTTCAGATTTTCGTGAACAGATTCCGAAACATTAAAGCATTTGGATGTGTGGATGAACTCCAAAATATCCATGAAATCGCAAGAACCCATTCGCGCGAACGTCAATCTCCTTAAGGAAACTTTCGCGTTTTCCGACATTATCTCTTCGCGCGAACGTTCACCTCATTTGCGAGCGTTCATGTCTGATCATCGATTTTCGACTCTATAAATAGAGTCTCGTAGGTATGGGTTGAGAGATGATTTTCAGTGCTTGTTTTTTATTAAAGTCTTATACGATTAAAGTATTTCAGATATCCGAAATAACTTTGATATGAAAGCGTAATACGTGATTCGTTGTACTCTATCAAGTTATTCTTCTCGTTCTATGTTAACGATGCTTTGCAGCGTTCTTCCTCCATTCATATGGTTCTATATTGAGAAAGTCATTATGTTTTAGTCCTATTTAGGTAATTACCCTTCATATTTCTAACACTCCCTCTGTCATAATTTATTTATCCAATTTGATTTTTTCAATATCAAATTAGATGAACTTTGCACTTTCATTAAACACATAATACAATGTATATTAGTATAAAGATCAGATGATTTATTAGCTTTATCTTGTTGGTTTTGAAGCCCCAAGGCTTCAAATCAGGATTTCAAACATTCTCTCTGCCACATTTGCTTTAACTTTCACCAAAATTTCACTATAAATGGATTTGAAGCCCCGTTGCTTCAAACAACGACTTCAGACTTCTATCTTTTTCATTTTTTAATACTTATCTTCTAAAATTAAATTAATAATATTTTATTATTTAATTAAATTTAAACGACATTAATTCATTAAATAAAAAAATACATTCAATAAAAATTACATTAATAAAATAAGATTTGAATAATAACAACATAAATAAAAATTTAAAAATTACATTACATTACAAAGAAATTAGTGATTATTCGAGCGACTAAAAATATCTTCAATCAAATCTACCGTTAGTGCATTGTGAATCTCTCGACTTCAGATTTCTTGGCGGTTTTCTCGTTTCTTTTATTCATCGATTTCTTTGTAGTAGCCACCATTGACAACAACCCGTCGCGAAACAATGAAAAATGAGATCAGAGCTCTCTTTTCATCGTGTCAGATGATGATCATCTCATTTTTCGAATATTTTTTTAGAGAGAACTAAAAAATAGAATATATTTTGGAAGAATTATGGAGAGAATGATAATAGGTTGTGTGCGTTTGTTTTGTTTAAAATAAGGGGTATTTATAGTATTAAAAAATAATTTTTTTAAATAATACCCAACGGCATTATAGCTGTTTGGGCCTCCAACGGCTCACTCCCTCCCCTTTTCTCAGTGTTAAACATTTAAGCAGATATGATGATGTCCGTTTAACGCAGCACGGGAGGTGTTTAACGCCCCCGGGCCCCAGGCCTTAAAACTGGCCTTAACACCGATGGGTGTTGCACCCACTACCAATGCTCTAATGGGTGGGTGGCACTATCATGCGGAGGTGGACTGGTGAGAGTGAAAGCACACACCCTGACACACCCAATCCAATTACACAGACCAATGAAGAAGTGGTGGGAGAAGATCAAAGTTCACCTTAATCAAAGCTTGAGATTTACTACTCTCTACTAATTTGGATATCATTTTTCTCCTGTAAATTTTATTTATAGACACTAAACCTGCATAGGTAGTTGGTGTAAGGAAAAGATGTCAAGTGTATTGATCATCAGATCGAATCTCAGCAGCGGTAATGTAGGAGTTCTATTCAGTGTAATAGCTCCTTCTGCATACTGGGCATGGAACGATTTTTTTTAAAGACCAGATTAAACATCTACGAAGTGATGTCAAAATTAGACACCAAACCAAAGAGTACTAAATATCTATAAAGTGCAAGCTCCACTCTTCAAGAACCAAAGAGTAAGACCCGAGATTAAAGTCTAATTTACTTCGTTTCATTAACTGTTTGGCCGGATCTGAGGGTCCTTTAGGCATGGGACACATCTTTTTTTTTTTCTAAATATCTATAAAGTGATGTCAAAATTAGAATACACATTGTTTTTCTTGAGATGACATGCCCACCAAAAAAATACACACCAGACAAAATAGTGCAGTCTCTCTTTGATTCTATACAAACAATTGGCAGAAACAACAGACGTCTGTCTGTCTGATCAAAACCCCAATTCATTTGATTAAACGATGAAATAGGGACCGGACGTCCATTGTTAACTCCCATCTACCCACTACCAAAATAAAATTTGCTTTTTTTTAAACACTCTAATCTCTTTGTCCTTAAATTTACATCTACAATTTTCCACATTATTGTTTACGGAGCATATCAAAATAAAACTCAACTAAGGAAAGAGAGGGAATGAGATTCTAAAGCTTAAAGGTAATTAATAGGTTGCTTTGCCCCTACTCAATTTAAAACACGTCATTACTATTATTTTAATTTTAATTTTTATTATTTATTATTATTATTAACACTAAAAATTGAGAACCACCCAAGGGCCAAGATATGGAAGCTGATGGGCAGAGAAAACGACCCAAGGAAGAAAATCCATTGTATATGGATCATCACTTTCTTTTAAACAAACCATATGATAGTGAGAGAAGTTGTAGCATGAGCAATGTTGGAGAATCCAACAATAAATGCCTATGTGCTATATTTTTCGAAAACAAAATTTTATCACGGCAACAACAATGAAGGACGATCATATATATTAGAATTAATTGAGCACTCATACGTACCACCAAAAGGATCAATCTCACTCTTCGTCAAACTATGAATATAGCTCAATTTACCTCTTACAAAGTAACTCTTCAATCAATCCTCGTAAACAATGGGGATGAGGTTTTTTTCAAAAAAGGAAAACAAAATTTCTACTAGACACATCACAGCAGCTATAGCCTATAAAGTAGGGAATAATGAAACTTTGTTATGAAAAGAGGATTAAGCAACAAAGTAAGGAATACTAAGATTTTGCCATAAAAAATGAGTTAAGGACCTACATGAAAATGTTAAAGCTAAACACTATCCTTAAATAACTTTTTCAAAACGTTACAACTTAACGGTTACGCGGTTGATAAACGGACACTATGTTAGTGGTTGGTTTAAATTCAAAAATCGAAAAGGTTTTGAATGGAGATATAAGTTAAGAAATTTGTGTAGATTGCAGTTTGAAGAGCCATATTAAGGGATGAATTGGAAGAGGCATGTGGAATGCATGTTAGGAAATCATTCTAAGTTCTAACCAAACAAAAGGTAAGTTTATATTTTCAAGCTAAGGCTTCCACAGGACCAGAGTGGCCTAAAAACACACAACTTCCAAAACATCAAGAGATATGGCATTCAAACTACTAATTTTCTAAGATTGTATATTCTGCTACTAATTCTGGTGATGTAAGCCAAGACAATCCAAATTTTGACAATGCTAGTTTGTGATTTCATACTTTGGCAATTTGTCTAAAGTGACTCTGCAACTAAACATTCCATACCTCAAAACTCACACAAATTGTATGAATTTCCAAATCCTATAACAAAACAAAAAAACCTTAATGGAATGGGTAGTTAGATTTCATATACAAATGTAAAACACAAAGTTTAGGAACTAGTTTTCAGTTTACCTGCAATTCAAGATTCCAAGTGGAAACTCTGCAGATAATATCCAATTAATGAAAAAAACAGCAGAAATTATGAAAATTGATCATATAGAGCATATTATATGGAGTATTGATTGATTAAGATTTAATACTGGGTATTATTAATTAAAGAGAAGTCACGTTTCATTTAACCATGATAATATAATTAATTAATTAATTAATATTTTTGGTTCCATTACCGGGGTTGGAGCCACAATTGAAGCTTAAGAAGGGCTGAAAAAGAAATAAGTGATTGTTGAAGGATTACTGTACAAATACAAGCCGCTCATCGTCGCCGTCCTCTTCTTGGTGCGGTCCTTTAGGGACGGTGACCACCAGTTCGCCGTCACTAAAAGCGGCGCTGGCCATGCCTGGCAGAGTGTACGGCGGGAGGCGGAATCGCCACAGGTCGAGCTCCAGCTCCGCAAGGGGAAAGTCTACGAGGCTGTCCCCGCGGATTACGATCTTCGTGACGCCGGGGTAGATCTGGACGGTGTGGGCCCTGATGTTCCCTCCGGCGACGTCGTCGGTCGGGACGACGAATCGGAATGAATCGTGGGTCTCCTCAACCGAGACGTCGGCGTCGGAGTGGAAGGGCAGCTCGAGGACCTTGGCGAAGATGTGGGGAAGTCGCCGGAGCTTCTTCTGCCGGAACCCCACCACCGTCTCCGACTGAGAAAGAGCCGACGCGATGTCGTATCGGACTGTGATGTTTCTCTTCTTCGGCATGGGATGGACCTTCATGGCTGCAAAAAAAAGAAAAGAAACCTCGGCGATTTCAGAGTGAAGAGACAAAACCCTAATTCCAGATAATCGTAATTCACTGTGTGTTACGGAGGAATTGATTAATTTCTGGGAGGTCGAAGAAGGGAGAGATGAGGTTGGTGGGTATATAAATGGAAGACGAGGATTGCAGGGCGGTCTTTCAGGGGATTGATTGAATTTAACCCGAGAAGAAGGTGATGATGCAAGTGGAAGCCCCCAGTTTTTACCTCTTCTTACCCCGTGACTTCCACACTGTAAAATTTCTTTAACACCGAGATTATTGGAGATTATAGTCCTAATTCTCTTCGGATAAGGGAGTGTTCTTCCCTTTTTTTACCTTTTGAAGTAAATTTCCAAAATTAACTAAGTATTCATTAATTAAAAATAATTTTCAGTTCAGTTCTTACATAGACGACCGTTAAAACAATGTTAAAAGACGTTAAATCCTCTACTAATTTCTCAGGTACTTTGTAATTATATATTTTCGTTAAATAATCCATTTTCAAAGTAAAAATAAATTTCATATGAAAAAATATTTTAAGTTTTATAGGATGAGAATATGATAATAAATAATATAATAATGATTTTATATACTCCCTATGTCCCCAATTTAATTACAAATTGCAGGTTACGGAGTAAAATTTCTTACTTTTTAAAATCATTTTATTTACAAATTACTATGTCAATAAATAAAAAACTTACTACCTCCGTCTCAGAGTATTTGTCCACTTTCATTTTTACACACCATCCAATGCACTTCTTTAATCCATTTTATCTTGTAATTTGTATTTTAAAAAATAATAGAAATTATATATTAATAATCTATATGTTAAGACAAATCAAACAAGATCACACATGAGTCAAAGTGCTTAGATGAACAGTTCCAAAAGTCAAAACTGGATGAATATTCAAGGGCAAAGGGAGTACTCATCAAAAAACTACGACAAAAGTTCTACAAAACAAGTGGTGTTTTATTTTATCAAATACTTAATGAAATCGCCTAAACAAACAAAAGTTATCGAGAGAAGAGAAAAAAATTGTTCGGAGTAACCTATTTATGGACAGATGGTGTAAAACATACGTAATATTAAGTCAAGGAAAGCGGATTATTTATTGCTTTTTTTCTTATATAATGTGGGGACCGATTACAAAGTATGAACCGTGTAGATTATTTATTGCTTTCTTTTTTTATGAGGCTTTCATTCCTATTTATAAATTGTGTTCTTTAATAATGAAATTATCGTGACTCTATATATATATATATATATATATATATATATATATAGTCACGATAATTTCATTATTAAAGAACACAATTTTGTGTATATATAGGTAGAGTTTCGTATAATAAGTACGCATTTGTTCAACCCGTTATTAATCTGAGACCCGACTAGGAAACTTTTGCTAGTCGATGGCTTTGGGCCTTTGGCCGGATACCCACTCCGTTCTTAACTATGATTGGGACATTGGATTAACATTTTTTTGGCAAGGTTGAAGGATTAACTATGCATGACACAAAAACTTGAAGGACCAACAGTGGAATTTAGCCTATTTTTAATCAATTAACTTAGTTGTTGGATTTGCGAAATAGTTTGTTAACTTTGAAAATAAATACTGATAAGTATACGTTGGCAAGTGTATTTTGATCCTAAAATTATCATAAACGGGTTGAAAGAAGAGTCTTTCAAGTTCTAATGTGAGAGTATTTGTTAGGTTCATAATTATATATATTTTTATCCATGTTATCTATGAAGTTTACCATTTTTATGAATCAATTCTGGTATTTAAAATATAAATCTGTCCAAATTGCAATGCTTATGATGTTTAGGAGTTAAAAAGGCTCTTTTAATATTTATTCGCATTAATTATTTTCTGGTTAGTTTTAAATTAGTATTGTGCTAAATGGAACAACTGGGCTGAAATGTAATTATACCCAAGTGCCATACATTGAGCCCAATTCCATATTTAATTTGGGTGGCCCAAATGTTTTAGGGTAATGGTATACCCTTACCCATACGCCAGGTCTGATATAATTCATTCGCCGGCTTACATTTACGCAGAAAACAAGAGAGAGAGAGAGAGAGAGGGAGGAGAATCAAGGTCTACGAGAAGAAGCTGATAGGTCTACAAGGGTATTAAACTGTAATCATTCGTATACATGTTGTAAATCGTTTAAGTAGATCTAAATTTGCGAAACTTTGAATATTACTGCTGTTTGATGTAAATCCCGACTTTGCTGCCTCCTTAAAACTATTTGTATTGACAATTTGGCTTGAATGTGAATCTGAAATGGTTGTATATTGTTTTAAATCTCTTTGGGTGAATGTTTTGTTGATGTCTGTCCTTGAAATGAGTGAGTAATTTGATAACTCAGTTCGATGTGTAACCTTTGAAGCCATTTTTACAATTGAAGCTCATATATATTTATTTTAATGTGCTAAAATCAGTATAGGAACATGAAATGAGTTTTGAAAGTCTATTTAAATCTGTTTGAAACTACTAAGAGGGCTCACTTTGTGGTTTTGGGTAGATTTAATCCAGGAAAACTCTAGTACTCCTAACACTGACTTTAAGTGTGTGCCTTTGTATGAGGGTATTTTATAGGTCTGATACTATAAGCATATAAGCCCAAGTGTTGAGAAAAAGAAATACTGGAAGAAGATGAATGGAAGAATGGATTGAATTGTGAGTCGAGTCTGAAGCGGGGCGGAACTGAATGTATGCTTACTATGCCATATTATAATTTAAATTAAAATTATTGTAGGAATAGCAATTTAGGGTTGGGGCATCGGTCCAAATGTAGATTGGGGCTGCATAGCTAACCGGCCCAATTTTATAATTGAAGAAAGCCCGAATCTATATTTGGATGGATTGGTCCTTTCTTCCAATTGGGTCGATTAACTATGCAGCCATAATCAACATTTAGCCCAACGCTCCAACCCTAAATTGCTCTTCTTACAATAATTATAATATGGCATAACAAGCATACATTCGTTCCTCCCCCTTTATACTCGACTCACAATTCAGTCCTTTCTTCCTTTTGTCTTCTTCAGGTATTTCTTTTTCTCAACACTTGGTCTTATATGCTTCAACTCTCAGACCTAACAAATACCCTCATATGATAACAAAATTATGCATTGTTTCTATTCAATCTATGCATGAAGCACAATTGCCCTATGTTTTTTATCATTAATGAAGTATTATACTCCGTATATATGTTCAAAGTTTTTGCATCCAAAAGCATTGCACCTATATATTTTCATATACGTGTATGACACGCTCCCCTCTAGAGATCCTATTTTCATGACTCAGATAAGTTTTGGCTTTGTTTTGATTTTTTTTTCAAATTTATGACTTTACCTATTTTAATGTTTTTATAAGAATATTTCTTTGCGTACTTTTAAAGGAAAATTTATTATAAAATGTTAGTAATTTTATAGTACTCGCTTTTATTTATTACATTTGAAAAATATGCATTTTATCAGGTTCACAAGAGTATTATGCAGAAATACAGTGTGAAGAAAGTAAACAATTTTAGTAGAATTTATGTAGTGGGAGGATGAGCTGTTTTCATTTGTTTATTATTTTGGTGGTGATAAATAGTAACAAACATTAAATTTGTTATTCTGAACCCAAAATGATCTAATTATTGCTGTAGTTAGGCCACATCTACATCTTTACCTTATATATAAAAAAGACTTAAGATTCAAAATTAAACCAAGTCATGAAATCTTGTAGTTATATGTTGGAAAGTGACTAGCAGCATGCATGATTTTATACAGAGTACAAGATAGAGCCCATTTAACTATTTGCCATATCACTTTGAGACTGCAATTTGCACCAGTAAATAAATTCTTTCATGTATTTAGCTGCAAAGGAAAAGATTATGAAATTAACCAGAATATTATTGTGGGTGAACTTGCAGCATTTTTGAAATAATTCTGTTATATGGAGCTGAATTTGATGCTCATATTCCATTCTATTTATTTATTATACAGGCCATCTGTCTCCGAATAAATCTTGTTGTCCGCAGTGATGGTACCATTTCTCGAGATCATATTTTCATTTATGTTTCTAGATGATTATATTTTGCTTCCCAGACATGTATTATCTAATATCTATGCATGTAATGTGTAGGCCGCACAAAGTGTGAACCCTAAAGCGTACCCACTGGCTGATGCGCAACTCACCATAACAATTTTGGATTTGGTCCAGCAAGCTGCCAACTTCAAGCAGCTCAAAAAGGGTGCTAATGAAGGTTGTTTTTTGTTGTCAATACCTACATATTTGTTTGTTTTCGCTCTTGTTTGACATGATTATGTATTAAATCGTAAGGGAAATGTGTTCTAACCTGTTTCAGCGACAAAGACACTAAACAGGGGAATTTCTGAGTTTGTTGTCATGGCTGCTGATGCCGAGCCACTCGAAATTCTTCTTCACCTTCCATTATTAGCCGAAGATAAGGTGATCATTGTGACTTCTTTCTTCTCTTACCAAGAACTTTATATTCTTGTGTTGTGCTCTCTCGTCTGATATAGTTGAATTTGAGTATCCTCTGATCTGCTAATTTATGTGATGTTGAAGCACCCGATTATGAGAATATATTTCGTATTGGATGTCAATGACGAAGCTTAATTTGGATATCATAAAAATCATTCAGTAGCACCAAGGGGGTTTTAAGGGTGCAATGTTGTGTGTGTGTTTTCTCATGAGAAAGCAATTTCAATGATTGAAAGACTCCAACAAATTTAAACCCAAACCCTCATTTATTCAGATAGTGCCATAGTCGTAGTATTTTCATGTCTATTAAACAAAGCCATACAACAAGTGGACTGCACATTTGTAGTACATGTCTTTATTGTGCCTTTTGTGTTTGATTGATTTTACTTCAACCTTTTCTTATCTGTATCGCGTGCACCTTGATCTCAGAATGTTCCCTATGTGTTTGTTCCCTCCAAACAAGCTCTTGGGCGAGCATGTGGTGTTACTCGAGCTGTGATTGCTTGCTCAGTGACAAGCAACGAGGGAAGCCAGTTGAAAACTCAAATCCAACAACTTAAGGTGGCGTACATTTATTTCCCTATTGCTGTGTAAACTGTCCATCACCTTTTTCTTCTTTTTTATATTCCTGCTGTATTGAACTCAATTTTATGTCTTTTGCGGCTTGTAGGATGCCATTGAGAAGCTCCTCATATAAATGGTGGAGTGGAGTGGAGTCTATTCAGCATGATGGGCCTCATCAACTCTGCACTAAATTAGGTTCTGAGGCTTTGACTGGCCATGTTTTTTGGAGTAATTCTGTTGTTGATCGTGTGCTTGTTTGTTTTATGAATTTCGTTCTTAAGAAGTTAAAGTGCGATAAGAATCTTCACTTTTCATTAGGTATTCTTCTTGTTTGCCATTTCGTATTGGTTGGATAATTAATATGGTTACAACTCTTCTCCGGTATCAATTTTAGTACTCCCTCCGTTTTCATTTATATTGTCTTTTTCAGTTTATGATGTTTGATTTAAATTATTTTCATATTATTTTATATAAAAAATAGTCTAGAATTAAAAAATAAAAATTATATGTTACATCAAAAAATTTAGAAGACTAGTGGTGTTATGATTATTTTATTTTATTTAATGACTACTGAAAAGAAGAAAGTAAATAAAGTTTGTTTATTTGAATTGTAAATATATAATTTAATTTTGGAGTAATTGAATAGTAAAAGTTAGCTGGAATTATTTTGAGGTTTTTCCTAGCAACTGTACCATTACAATTTGTAAGGTTGCAAATTCTACCCGTTTCGATAATATCATTCCTTTTTTACTGTTGTCACGGATAAAATTTTGATCAAAAATGGATATTACATACGGAGTATTTACATGGATGATGCATGTCTACGATAATGAAATGGTGGAGGGATGTAAAGATTGTTTTCTCACTCGTTATTCTATTTATCACCAAATTTATCAATATAGTTGTAACACCCCTGTCCTAGAGTATTTGTCCATTTTCATTTTTACACACCATCCAATGCATTTCTTTAATCCATTTTATCTTGTAATTTGTAAATTAAAAAATTATAGAAATTATTTATTAATAGTCTATATGTTAAGACAAATCAAAGAAGATCACACATGACTATATTTAGGCTTACACATTGTGAGAATTTGATGAGTCAAAGTGCTTAGATGAACAGTTCCAAAAGTCAAAAGTGGACGAATACTCTGGGACGGAGGGAGTATTGCGTACCATGTGGAAAAAACTGGAAAAAAATTGGAAGGTATTGAGTAATAGATGTTACATGTAATTCTATCCAAATCCGACTCATTGACATTTCTAAGATATTGTGATAAAAAAACTCATGGAAGTTTAAACGTTCATATTTCTTTTGTTCAACAAAAAAATTTCACAAATAAATTGACATAATTATTACCCTAAAAAAGATGAAATTATGTGATGAAAGTGACATAAGTACAAAAAATGACACAATTTTTTTAAGAGAAGTCTTTATTTATTTATTTTTTTGGACAAAATGTACAATATTTTATTCAACAAATATAGTAACCACTTACAGTCCAGAAATCAAGCTACTTTAGATTGTATAACGAGAAACTTTTAACAAAAAACATAGTGTTTTTAATTGCAGCTTCGACCGAGAACTCTTTACCATGTATCTTTGCATTTCTCATCTTCCAAATGTTGTACCAGTTTGCAGCTAAAACCGCAGTAGTAATGGACCTCTTCCGCTTTGTCTTAATGTTTTGAAGCTCCCTTTCAATGTCGTCTAGCAGCATTGCACTCTTCAGTTTGATACCGAAGGCATCAAACACGGTTTCACGCAAGACAGCAGTGATTTTGCATTCCAAAAACAGATGGTTTATTGTTTCAGCTTCCTTACCACATAATCCACATTTATCTTCAATGTCAAGAAACCTGTGTAAGAAGCTTCTGGTTTTGAGTCTCCTTTGGTATATCAGCCATGCAATGATCTTATGCTTAGGGTGAGTTGTTTTGCTCCATACCCATCTTGTCCAGTGAGGTTTCTGTCTATCCCCGGCCAAGGAGCCACTTGTACCCTCTCCTAATAGAATATGGTTTATGTAAGTCCATACCTTCAAAATTGCTTCTAATATTGAGCATGGATTTCCAGTAGGATGGGCAGTCATTCTTAGGGTTGATATCCCAAAAATTTCCATCTTTAATGTATCTGGAGTGAACCCATTTGACCCATAACAAGTCCTTCTTATTGGCCATGTCCCAGTTTACACTTGCCATATTCCATAACATGATATTTTTGATGCCCAGGCCACCCATGGACGTTGGGGTGCACACATCATCCCAATTAACGGGGGGGTATTTTCTTTTGATCAATAGAACCACCCCATAGGAAAGTCCTGCACAGTCTTTGGATTTGATGGATAACATCCTTAGGGAGAATGAATATTCTAGCCCAACCCAAAAATTCATAATCCCAAATAACACTGAGTTAACAAGACATTCTACCAGCGTAAGAGATATTCTTGCTTCCCCAAGTGGTAATCCTGGCAGCAATCTTATCAACCAGACATTTACAATCTCCTTTCGCGAGCCTACATGAAGTAATAGGGATGGATGCCCAGGTATTCAAATGGTAAAGTCCCAAGGCTCATACCTGTGCTCTCCAGGATATCCTGTTGCTTTTGCTCTGTCACCCCGGCAAATACTATTTGGGATTTGAGGGGATTAATCTGAAGACCTGTGAGAAGTCTTTATTTTGAGATAGATGAAACAAGACTCTATTCTTTAGGGTTGAAAAAAAAAAAGAGTTGATGTTGGAAGAAACTGGAAAAAAATTGGAAATCGGAAGAAACTAGAAAGAAATTGAAACGAAATGAAAAAAGCTAGCAAGGATTGAAAAGAATTGAAACAAGTTGGAAAATGTAGGAAACAATAAAAATGTTGAAATAAATATTATACTCTATATAATCCAACATCTATTTTAATTACTCGTATTAATTACGGAGTAGTAATACTCTTGTTATTCGAATGTGTTTTTTTACACATTTCGGGTCATTTTTTTTTTGTTTCACAATGTAATATTATAATTATTGGAGTTTTTTTTAATTTAAAGTTTTGATGTTTTCTCCAACTCAATTCTGTTGGGATAAGTGCCCTTCACTAGAGGAGAATGAATAGTAAGACACGAGAATGTTGATAAATTTTTATGAAATAAAAAATGCAGGGATAAAATAAAGTGCGGAATTAAAAGCGTAAGAAAAGAACACACCATTTTTATACTGTTGTGACTAGTCCAGTTCCCAAAGAAGCTCTCTCGAAGGTCCCACTTAATTCGTTAAGCTTAAGATGCCCAACAAACCGATACAACTTGAGAACTCGGGTCACACGAGTTTCTACAACGTTTGTTCAGAGATACTGCACTCCAAGACTTCAAAGGCTCGTATATGTACCCTACACAAAAATTCAACAGCTCGGACTCCTCGCCCAAGACTTCAACCACTAAGATCCTGGTTTCTTAGCAAACCCAACTCTCAATGAGAAGAATTGGTCTAACACCCCAACTCGCATAACCAGAACTAACGAGTTAGCGAACCAGGTTGTTACTATTTATCCCAATTGTCATTTAGACGTGTCATATTTCTTTTCCCTAACATTGAACAACCACATTTGTTTAACCACTTGACAGCCGATATCGTCTTGAGAGAAAACAGAGCTGAACCCAGAAGCCGATCCAATTAATTAGCCTTCTTTCTTCCGATCGTCGTCTAGGTTCACGGGAGGCCTTTGTTTTCTTAAAGTTTTTCAACAATTAAGGGGCAACCTTTAACACTATGTTTGGTTCAAGGAATTTGAAAAGAAAAGAAAAGAAAATGGTGTTCTCTCATTTTCCTCACCAAAACGGGAGGAATTTGATTTTCCCTCCTCTTAATATATTTTGTCTTCTCATTTCCTTATCCTTCCACTTTTCTTTTCCTCTCTATCCAAACAAGAAATGCTATTTTCCATCCCATTTTCTTTTCTTTTCCATTTCAAATTTCTTGAACCAAACATAGTGTAATGCAAGAAAGAGAAATTCTTGAGCATTATTTAAGTAACAAAAACTGATATAAAGTGTAGAGTGGAGCATTAGTTGATTCATTTCCAGAAGAATACACAAACAACAGTTCTATATGACCCATCAAACAACCCCATTAAAATTTAGAAAAAAAAATGCTATAATTGAACTCCAGTACTACCTTAAAAGTCTGGCTTCATGATAAAGCAAAACCAATAAAATTAAAACACACACTAAGCAGCCTAGTTTTACCACAGCGCCAGACCGCCGGACAGCCTTATTAAAACCATTACCTCTTTCCTTTTCTGTCGTTCCGGCCCCTCTTTCTGAACTCCCGGGTATCAGCAGAGTACTGTTTCTTGATGAAAAGATTCCTCATTGCAGCCTTCACTGCTTCCGCGGCTGTCAAGAAGGCCTCTGATTTGACATGCAGATCCCCTTGCAGTTTCTGGAGCATTTCTTCTCCTCCGGGCGAATCTTTATCTTCAAGAAAGGATGTTTCTTCCTCAAGACTCTTCTTGAAACCGGATAAAACCCTCACCCGTACCAATGATCCTTCGGTTGATTCAGAAGAACCGTTCAGACCCGACACGCCCATGACCAGCCATAACAGGTCTGCTGACGTGGCAGTCCCCAAGCTCGTTGGGATGAAGGTTTCTGAACCAACAATGGGGACAACCTGGAAATGGGGAAAAACAAAATATATTGTAATAATAGGAGAACATTAGAGAGAGCAAAGAACGAATGAATGGTAGGGATTTGGATGGGTACTTTGAAAAGAGAGAGACTTGTCATGGAAAGGTCACAGGTCAACAGCATAACTCCTGGCAAGCTAAAGGCCGAGATGGAATTACCAAACGGAACATGAAGAGGATGAAGGAGAGTTGAAGATTTAAAGATAGTTTTACTACCTCTGAACAGCTACTGCAACTAGTGATCCATCTGGAGTGGCACATATATCAGTAATGGCAGGAACAAAATTTTCTTCGCCTCCATTTGACAGTGCAGCTCCTTCCTAAGTTATACTCGGAGAAGTGAATAATGGTGTGAGAACTATGGTTCTTTATAGGAGGCAAACGGAAAAAACGCTACCTGTGCTCCAACAGGACATGTGTCTAGAAGAGAACCAGAAACATAGTCCCACAAGCGAACCTGAAAGCAGAGTTCACCATTTAGTCAAATGCTTGCTAGTGTAAGAAATACTATGCCAAATAACTTTTATCACATTCAGAGATGGAGGGAGAGCCGTGAGCCTGAGCCCAACACTTGAGTTGCTCATATGGTGGCCAAAAGGACTCGGGTTTGAACCATTGTGGAAACAGTTTATAGGAAAAAAACATTGTCTTGGAAAGACTGTGCATATATATGGTGTCCTCTTCCCCTACCCCACAAGGAAGGGGGCACTTGGCGCACCCTGGATGGCCCTTAACATTTAAAGCTGCAATACATCAGTTTTATGAATTTCACTCACTGTTGAATCACCGCCCCCAGAAACTAAAAAGCCTTGTGGACAATCTTGATTGCAAACAAAGGCAAGGCAGGAGACAAACCTGTCAATAATGAAGCCCCAAACAAAAACTTAGATATGGCATAACATTACTTATTACGAGTATTAGCTCGTACAGAATACTTTATCCATCCCAAAATAAAGTTTCCACAAAATAGGAGACATCCCAAAATAAAACCACAAAATTTCACCTTTTTCTGAACTCCATGAGAAAGCAAATGGGGACGTTATGTTGGGACAGATTTAGTAATTTATTACCATCCTCTAAAATATAGTGGCAAGTGAAAAATTAGAGATATACTCCGTACTTACTCGGTATGACCAAGGCAAAAGCTCTGGATCTCATGAGCTCCATTTAATGGCTTTTTGGGGAATAAAGTAACCTGTTATTTTATGGGCTATAAGAGACTTCAGATATTCCAAAACCTCTGAAGGTAAACGAGTACAGAAAGTTACATTACACGGATTTTGAAGTCACGGTCAGCACTAATGATAAAGCGTCCATCTGGTGAAAACTCCTGCTTGGAAAACACACACTGAGAATAGCATACTAGCGATACAATTTTCATGAGCAGATAAAGAAAAACAATACCAGGCTAGTAATAATGCTGCAATAGTGTGAAAGAATTAAAACTGGTTTCTTGTCAGGAATATCTCGCTTTTCTTGAACGTTATCTAAATCTGTTGCATAAACCGCTCCAAATTTGTCTGCAAAGCAAACAAAGCAACCATCCTTGCTTATGGCAACAGCACTGACTCTTTTCTCTGATAAACTGTTAACACCATAAATGGTAAGATACATACATAGAGTATTAATCAACTAAATACGAAACGTCAAATTTTTAAGGATTTTTTTGATTGAATTGTCTAGTTCAATTACTACCAAATCACATGTAACAATAAAATACGATACCCAAATTCATTTTCTACAAACTGATGATAGCATGACCAGTAATTAAGTGCCAAAAATAAAGAAAATAAATTTAATGTCACTAGTTACTACTCAAAGCTAAACTTAAAGGTAAAAATTACAGTGATCTGAAAAGCATGAAGGAAAGGCAATAGCTTTCTGCTTGGGATATACTCCACAGCACATTTGAAGAATCCTTAATCTGAAAAGCTTACATAGTATGGGTACATCGCCAAGAATCAGTATTCCAAATCTTAACAAGCTTGTCATCTCCTGCAGACACAAATAGCTTCCCTTCCGCGCCATATCGAATCGCCCTGATTGAGTCCCTGTGCATGTTCCCCCCAGAATCGTCCGACAATGACTCTGAATGACATCTGCCGGTGATTATTGAGCAAAAGATGATCGTTTTCCATCAAATCCGACTTCTCGCATTCGTCTTAACAGTAATAAAAATAATTTTTTTATAGGGTGGGGGAGATGGCCGGAAAGAATGAGGAATGTGGCTCACCGGAGGAGATTGAAGACCCGGAGGTCCGACCCGACGGAGACGGCAACGGAATCTTGACTCGGGTGAACTGCGATTAGAGCCGGAGCGACCTCCGCTTCCCGGCTCTGCTCGTTCTCATCCATGTTCGTTTCCTCCATTTGTGCTGCAAGTAGAAATTCGGGTTCGGTTCCTTTTCAGGGGTTTAAGTCCTCCCAAACGCTCGAATCCAATTGTGCAGTCTAGGGATTTCGCGATTCGCACAAGAATCACACCGGGTCATGGGAAAAGCCGAAAAGCCCAAACGGTAGTTAAATGAGTCATGAACATGGTGCCTTAAAATTAATTCGGGCCTGTGAACAGTGCTTAAATATTATTTTACATATTTTTATTGATAGTTAGATTACACAAAGATAGTTCATGAATTTCTTATTTTGGATAAATCTTGACGCTTTTCTAATTTATATACTTTTCAATTTCATATCAATATTCATATAAATTAAATTAAAAGTAGATCATGAAAAGCTTATCTTGAAAATGAGAGAGAGTTGTACTTGTAAAGGAATAGGCAACAAGAATGTATAATGATCTACCCAAAAAAAATACTACCTCCGTCCCGCTATATTCGTCCACTTTTGACTTTTGGAACTGTTCACCTAAGTACTTTGACTCATCAAATTCTCTCAATGTGTAAGCCTAAATAGAGTCATGTGTGATCTTGTTTGACTCGTCTTAACATATAGATTATTAATATATAATTTCTATAATTTTTTAATATACAAATTACAAGATAAAATAAATTAAAGAAGTGCATTGGATAGTGTGTCAAAAGGTAAGTGGACAAAGAGAGTGGGACGGAGGGAGTATATAATACGGAGTAATTAAAAAAAAGTGTATAAATTTGACTTTCCTTTTTCATTTGGGCGTAAATAATTCTATGATTTCTATCTTTTATTTTGAAAAGAATAGAACAAATGGCGTATGTGTAATAAATTTTTTATCTTATTTTCCTAAAAAAATAAAATCTTATCCAAATAAAATCTATCCATATATCCACTTTATTTTTTTTAGTAACTTCTATAAATTTCGTCAAACCAAATTATTACTTTTATCCGGAAGTATATAAATATATACACATTACTAAGATGTGGACCTCAACAAATTACATAGAATTGAATAATCAAACCATTGCATATTTGCATGCATCCAATTATACTAAAAATTATGTCCAAGAGAGCTCGAATAGATGATGGTCCCGACAACTTGAGGATCTCCAAATCACCCAAACCTAATCCCTCCCCCACCGTCATGCCGCCGCAGCAAAGCACTGATAATGACGCCAACAATAAGTTCCCGAGGTGGTCGATTGGTGGTGATGACCAGACGGAGGCGGCGGCAACTAGAGCCTCTCCGGCAGCGGGTCCACGTGGCAGCAGAAGCAAGGAAGCGAGGTGCAATAGGCTTTGCCAGTTTCTTGAGAGGTGTTCTTTTTGCGGCAATACCATTGATCCATCCCGCCACATCTTCATGTACATGTACGTAAGTCGTCCTCCATGCCTACATTATATTGTTACATGCATATTCATGTTGATATATAATAATTGAAATATATTTAAAAAAGAAAAGATAACTTTTTTCTTTTGTCAAATTTGTAGCAATTTGATAAAAAAAATAGTAAAGTGTTGGGGTATCCCTCCTACATGGAGGAAGGAGTTCCTAAACAATACATTTGGTGTTAAAAATATAATTTGTTTAGAGGTGGAGTAATATAATAATAATAATAATAATATTTATTATTATTATTATTATAAGAAAGAAAAAAAAAGGGAGTCAAAGTGGGGCTGCCACTTTTTTGAAAGGCAATAGCCTTTTGTGGCTGGTCACGGGCAGAAGCCGAAGGAGTGCAGAGCAAAACAGAGAGAAAAAGGAGAGAACCGAGAGAGAACAGAAGAGAGAAAAAGTGGGGCAGCAGTTCGGGTTTTTGCTCCGATCGACGACCAAACAAGCTCCGTTCGGGATGAAATTTTAGTATGTTGTTCCTGACATCCTCTTCTTCATATCCAACGGTGGGATTGTTGTTTTGACCTCTCGATGTCGGTAAAATTGCCTCTGGTTCTCTGCTGCATTTTTGTATGGGTTTTCTCACTTTTGAGTGAAGATTATTGTTGTTTGGTGTTCCAAGTTGTTGCTTGATGATTGTGTATACCTCTAATTGATTTAGAGAGGATTCTTGGAGTACCCACTGATTTTCTTGGTGATTAGTGGAAGGGTTCGTGGTTTTTTCCCCGATTTGGGATTTCCACATTAAATCTTGGTGTTCGTTTATCGCTTAATTGATTGCTTGTTGTTGTGTTTGCTATTCTTGATTGGTCATATGATTTTGCCCATTTTGACAACACAAAGATGGGAAAATTATTAATTGCTTCCGCTAGATAATTGAGGTGATTTTCCCAACATAAAGCTAAAAGTAACTATTTAGGACAAGAGAGTCACTATTTTGGCATGAGAAATTTACCTAAATAGGACTAAAACATAATGACTTTCCCAATATATGATTAAATGTTTTTATTTCTCAATGCAGGACTTTTGGTCATTATCAAGTAGTCATTATTCAAGTAAATGTCTATCATTACTGGACATTATTCCTCCCACAAGGTCATTATTAAGTCTTATTTAGGGAATAAAAAAGTTTAAACCATACATTAGGAAAGTCATTATGTTTTAATCCTATTTAGTGCAAATTTCACTTTTGGCATATCAACGTATAATTCCCACAACATGAACCCTTGATTTTTTTGTATTAACTCACAGATCCTACATTATCTTAAACATGAGATATCCATTATTTTCTTGTATGAAATTTCAATTCCCACATTATCAAAAATTTATTTCGGAGGTCCTTAAAATCTGTGTGATGTACTCAAAGGAAATATTCCATCTATTTGGCATTATGATTGAAAGTTTTGTTACTTTGACAAGTACTAAATTTTGCATTGATAATCGTTACAGTTCATGATATAATATCACAAAAATTAAATGCAACCTAAGAATTCATACAAAAAAATCAAGGATACTCCAGAATATATTCGAAATAATGTGAGACTTGAATCACTTGATAGTTATTATCAAAAAAGTGATGAGAATAGCCAAAAATAGTTTTTTGTTTAATTTGTTACGCAGGTCAAACCCATTCTGCCGTATGGTATGTCGGGCGAAACAAATCTGCATTGACGAGATAATAGTGAATATGAAGAAGAAAGAGGAGTGGCGGCGCGGCCAATACAAGAGCGGATGAGCATGCATGGCGAGAGGTGGTTCCGTCATGCTGTCGCCGGCCGCCTTCTGAGCATGGCGGGGTTAGCTGCCGGTGCTGTGAATACATGTAGCCTTTTAATTTGTATATAGCCTTAAGCCCTTAATTAATTTGATCATATATGTTTGTTTCATTAGTTTCTTTGCTCAAACACTCCAATTGTCCCTAACATAAATTAGAGGTGTAATTTTTATAAACCTCGCTCGACTATTATTAAAATGTAGGGGCTATTTACATGCTCCATTATTTTAATTTCACCGGAATTTTAGCTTATTATTTGCGATTTGGATGATTATATGGTAAAAAAATTAATATTATTGTTACTTTTTTTGTATAGCTTTGACGTAATTCTTATAATGTACTCAATACTTTTTTCTTCTATACAATTCTTAAATAAAACTAATTTTAAAAAAACTTGAAATCTCACGGCGCTTTGGCTTCTATGCGTAGTCATCTTTGGATTGGAGGGACAACGTTTCTTTTATATGAGTATTACTCCTCCGTCCCAAATTATAAAGCATGTTCACTATTCACAGGTTCAAACTTCATTCACTTTCTTTCTATATTTTCGTTAGCAATTTGATAAAATAAAATATTATTGTCACTACTAGTTTTGTACATCTTTTGATGTAGTATTATTTTGATATGTATTTTATTTTTTTAATTGTATACCATTTGTCATATAAAATTATTTGAAAATAACTTCAGTCAAACATCGTAAACCGAAACAGGTGTTATAAAATGGGACGGAGGGAGTATAAGAAAAACTTACCGCTTGAGTTTTACAAAGTAAGAAAATTATTGAGAATGAAATGTAATATAATTTAATTAAATAGAGGATAAAATAGGTGCATTTTTTTGGCATCCACAAATGATTATTGTAAACTATTTTATTTATGGGCCGATGAGCATTGCGTAGTTCAATTCGCAAAGGCAAAGAGTGCCAAGTGCATAAGACTCGAGTTCAACTTCTGACAACTGCGCTCTGAGGCAATCATGCTAAACATATGGTCTCTGCAAGTATCAGGTGTATGTTCCACTCTTTGTTGCTAATGTACGATCAAAATCTAATTTATCTTCTCTTAATTACAGTTCAGCCGAGTCTGAGAAAGTCTTCGAGGACGAGCTCATCCTTTTTTTTGTAAAAATTTTTTATGGGTGGAAGGTGTAAATGATATTGAAATTTAAATCTTTTCTTTATGTCATATATTGGATTCGTTTTTTGTATAGCAATGTAGTATTACATCTTGTAATTTAATTATATAAAATCAAGATATTAGTTATTAATTGTTATATTGAAAATGGTGAAGGATAAAGTTCTATTTTATTTTAGGTTAGGGATGTAAATATTGTTGTTTATTTAGGTCTATAAATAAATATATATTTTAATTTGATCTCTTTGTTCCATATGGCATTAAATTGTGATATAAATTCGAAATTGATGATTTATTTTGAACTATAGATTAGACACAAATACTTTTTGGTTTCTCTAGGTATCTTCCTTCTTCTTTTCCTTTTTCTATCTAAACAAATAAAGAAAGGACATTTTTTCCCTTTATTTTTTTCTCTATATTTTCTTTCATCAAATTCCTTCTAAGATCATTCTAATTTCTTTACTTTTTCTTACTCCATTTTCCTTTCTATTTCCTTTACTCATATTTTTTCTCCTTCAAACCAAATTGGGGGAGGGGGTTATACATTCATGTTCTAAACATCTCTAAGATGTTTGATACTTCCATATATTTGTAATGAATATGTGAGTGATAATATTTTTCTTTTATGTAAATAAATTTTAATAATACATTTTTTGTTTTTGAACAAATTTATGATATCATATATGTAAAAGCTAAACTATAATGCTTCTTTCGTACACAGAATTCAGGGCATGAAATTGTATACGACGACTTCAATTCTAATTATGTTATTTGGAAGTACTAAAATATGTGAATTTGCAACTGAATTCTAAATTTCTAAGTCCAAATTTCTTCCACATTAATTCTAAAAATATGTAGATTTGATAGTATAAAAATACGTAGTAGTAGATTTAGAATCATAAAACAATTTTATATCAATTCTATATACTCCGTATGATTTTGTGTTACTAAACAAAAGATTTGAAATTATAATAAACTCTATATCAATTCTTAGGGGCTGTTTGACAACTTCTGAATAGGTAAGTGCTGAACCAGTAAGAGGTGGTCTGAACCATTAAGTGCTGAACCAGTAAGAGGTCTGAATCATTAAGAGCTAGTATATTGCTTAACTATTCAGAGGCAAATGTCTGATCAATTCAGATAAGAACTATTAACCATTCAGACTCTGTATAATACTTAACCATTCAGAGGCAAATCTCTTAACCATTCAGACATCTGAACCATTAAGAGGCTGAAACAAACAGTCTGAACCATTAAGTGCTGAATCATTCAGACATCTGAACCATTAAGAGGCTGAAACAAACAGCCCCTTAATTATATAAAAAAAGATTAAGAAGCAAATAAGCTGGAGGTCAAGTTATAATACTCCGTATAGTACATTATTAAATGTTAATTACTCCGCATACTCGTTTAATAAACGAGCGCAGCCATATTTAGCCGCCAGTCAAATTTCTTGGGAGTCGGAGACCCTCACAGTGAAGGGGCAATCTCGTCACTTCCACGTATTTGAGGGTCTTATTATTCGCGTAAATCTTTCTTAATCCCCAATTAACCCAACGAAGACAGCATAAACAACATCAAAGAAAATCAAAGAGAATGGAGGAAAGAGGAAAAGACAGACACCTAAATATTCGATTAATTGTCTTTTTCTGGGAGTGCCCCTCCCCTCTCAACATTATTTCGACTTTGACACTTTTTCCAAAGCTGACATACTGAGGCAAAAAGCCAGCGCACCCGCTGCCAAAAAGCAATAATAATCCCAAGCAAACTCCATAGACAGAGAAGAGAGAGAAGGGTCCAACGGCAATGGGTTGATCAAAGGCAAAAGCTTTGGTAGGCGTTTTTCTTGGTGGCAAAATTGAAGTCACTCGATCCATTTTTCTTTTCGTTTTTATTTTCTGGTCAGTTTCTGGTTCTCAAGATTTCATCTTTTTGGGATTTTTTTCTCTTGTTTTACAGAATTGAGGAGTTGTTTGTTTTCTTGTGCGTGTATGCATCAGAAGCGTCAAAGATATGTTTTTTTTTAATATTAATTTTCTGTAATCTTTTGATTGGCCTTATTTGTGATCATGATTCTGATGATCATGGCTGATCACCTCCTATTGATTGCATTGATTTTCCAAATTTAAGCCGTACAGTTGATTTGTCATGCACAAAGTTTGTCAAAAGAGAGAAAAAAGTGGGAAAAGATCCCTTTATTATGTTTAGCAGCTTAAGCGTTTTGATTTGCAGTAATTAAGACAGATCTGATCTGGGATTTTTGATCTTTTACTTGTTTCAGTGTTCTGGAAGGACATTTTTTTTCAAAAACCTTTCGGAAGGCAGCTGTTATTGTACCTATTTATAGTTTCTTGGACTTGGATATTGTTCTTCAATCAGTTTTGAGGTACTTTGCTTTCCCTGCAACATTGTATTGTTTAGTTCATATGCTTCCAAGTTCTATCTATTGAGTCTTTGTTCTTTGTTGGTTAGGTGTAAGGGCGGAGAAGTCTATAATTGAGTCAACTGCAAGTCTCATATTGGATGACCTGAAGTTCTTGCTCAACTACTTCTGAGTTGATAGAAGCTGCGTGCAGGTTTACTTTTCCTGGAATATTGAGGCGGTTTTGCGCATTTAGGGAGATTTGATCTTGAAGAATGGCGAAATTGTCTCATGCTGATTCTAGAAGAATGTATTCTTGGTGGTGGGATAGCCACATTAGCCCCAAAAACTCGAAATGGCTGCAGGAGAATCTCACAGGTATTATTCCTTGATCGTAGTCAAAGAAACTGCTTAGGGCTTGTTTGGTTTAGGATTTGAAGGCAAGGGGAAGGGGAAGGGCGACTTTTATTTTACTCCCTACTATTATTTGCTCATGTTTGGAAAGGGAGTGAAGATGAAGTATTATACGTAGTACTATTTAAAATACATTATTTGACATTTGGACTAATGGTGTAGTTATTTTCTAATCTAATACTTTGACAAATCAATAGAGATAAATTGGTAACACAAAAATCAATCTTCTACCTCTCTTCCAAAATCCCCCAACCAAACAGTCTCTTAGGAGTCAGACGATCTCCAAGCGTCTAGTGGTTCCATTCCCTTAAAATACTTCATCTAAGAAATACCCCTTCCATGTTTCTTCTTGGGTTCTCCAATATTTTTTCCCATTTTCATTTAAGAAAAAACAATAACGTGCATGATATGGTTTCTCTCCTTAATAAAGGAACCTCAACCATACAATGTACTTCCTAAATGAATGTGCCAAGTCAAAGCAGGGAAAAAATTACACAAGGAGTACCTATATAAAATTGAAACTTTCGATTATTACAACCTTCATCTCAAAAAGAAGAATCATGTTCGTAGTACTGAATTTCATTATGACAAACATGATTCTTTGTTTGGGATAAATGAAATATTTTTACAAAAGTACGAAAAAAAGTAGGGTTTTCACCAATAGAAGGCTGGTTATAGTCACCTGTGAGAAGCTATAAATGCCTTTCTAGGCTGCCTTGCTCAACCCATAAAGAAAGCCGTGTTTGAAGTTTTTGCTAGCGCCTAGGCAGATTTTATGCCAATATTTAAAGCCCTGCTTTATGTAGACTATTTCCTTAGGCAGTTATGTAGTTGCATATACACGTACTTCGTATTTGCTTAATGTTTCTTTTTGCATTGTCCCCTGTGATTTACTTGTGCATTATTTGCTTAATATTTCTTTTTGCATTGTCCCCTGTGATTTACTTGTGCATTTTTCTGTTAATGAATCATCATAAGGCCTTGTTTTGGCCTATAGAGACTAGCTAATAACTGACCAAAAGCTAAAGCTCTCTGGTAGAAAAAGCTTTTAAAAAGAGAAAAAGCTATAAGCTCTTTGGAGAAAAGCTTGGGGCAGTATTTTTAAACATCTTTTTGGATCCAATAAGCTCTTCCAATATGCTGTTTGCCGAACAGAAAAAATAGTCTTTTCAGCCGGGCTATGGTCAATAACTAACAGTGCAAAATGAGTAAGCTGTATCATCTCCAAAAATCTGTTTGCCAAATTCGCCTATAGTTAGGCTATCATCAACTTGTTCAAAAGATTCATCGAAACAGTAAGGAATATATGTTGTTCTTTTCTCACCTTTGACTCTTGTGTGAACTTTATTTTATTCCACTAATCAGATATGGATGCTAAAGTGAAAGCTATGATCAAACTTATCGAAGAAGATGCCGATTCTTTTGCAAGAAGAGCAGAGATGTACTACAAGAAACGTCCGGAGCTGATGAAACTTGTAGAAGAGTTTTATAGAGCATACCGTGCATTGGCTGAAAGGTATGATCATGCGACAGGTGTGATCCATCATGCTCACAAAACCATGGCAGAAGCTTTTCCAAACCAAGTCCCTATGGGTGGTTTTGTTGAGTATGATTCACCCCTTAGTAGTGCTACAGATCCTCAAACACCCAACTCAACTCCCGTGCGTTCTCTTTTTGAGTCTGATGAACTGCAAGACTCTGGTTCTAAGAGAAATGGAACAACCATAGGGGATTCAAATTCTGTACCAAAAGGGCTGGGATTGAAGCAGCTCAACAATCTCTTTGGGGGCAATGCAAAGTTTGGTGATGGGAAGGTGAGAAAAGGTCTAAGTTTTCACGAGTCAGGGGAGAAAGAACAAAGCTTGCAAAGCAATGGGGCCAACAGTTTTGAAGACAAATTGCACTCCGATTTGGATCAGGTGGCCCAGCAGGCCCAAATTGAAGCCGAGAAAGAAGCAGGCAGGATTCAGTACCAGCAGGCTTTAGAGAAGTTGTCGGAGCTGAATTCTAGAATCACTTGTGCGGAAGAAGAATCTAGAAGGCTTGGCGAGAGAGCTAGCAAAGCTGAAGCAGAAGTTAAAACCTTAATGGAGGAGCTTTCTAAATTGGAAACTGAAAAGGAGGCTAAGCTTCTGGAATACAGACACTGTTTGGAGAAGATTTCTGATTTGGAGAGTAGCCTTGCTCGTTCCCATGAGGACACCGTGGTGCTTAGTCAAAGAGCTATTGAAGCTGAACTGGAAGCCCAAGCATTGAAAGATGTTCTTGCGAAGATAACCACTGAAAAGGACAATGCTCTTGACCAGTACATGCAGTCTTTGGAGACGATAGCTAAGCTTGAGAGTAAATTACAATGTGCAGAGGAAGATTCTATAAAATTTAAGGAAAGATCAGAAAGAGCAGAAAGTGAGGTTGAAACTTTGAAACAAGCCATTTCTGAATTGAGTCAGGAGAAGGAATTGGCAGCGATCCAGTACCAAAAATGCTTGGAGACCATATCTAGTCTGGGTGCTAAGCTCTCTTCTGTTGAGGAGGAAGCACAACGGCTCAGCTCAGAGATTGACAATGGCGCTGCCAAATTGAAGGATGCCGAAGAGCATTGTCATGTGTTAGAAAAATCGAATCAAGCTTTTCAATCCAAGGTTGAAACTTTGACTCAGAAGACGGTTGACCAAAGTCAAGAACTTGCTGAGAAGCAGCAGGAACTGGGAAGACTATGGACATGCATACAGGAAGAGCGTTTACGCTTCATTGAGGCCGAAACTGCCTTCCAAACCCTGCAACAATTGCATGCCCAACTTCAAGAGGACATAAGATCTTTGTCCACAGAATTAAAGCTTGATAATAAAAAATTGGAAGACGAGATCTTGAATGTCAAAAAAGAAAACAAGAATCTCCAGGAGCTCAATGTATCTTCATCCATGACAATAAGGGATCTGCAAGAAGAGATCTCCAGCTTGAGGGACACAAAAGGGAAACTCGAGGAGGAGGTGGAGCTCCGGTTGGACGAGAGGAATGCTCTTCAGCAAGAAATATACAGTCTGAAAGGCATGTTACAGAAAGAGAATAGCGAGAAGAAAGTTCTTCTGGAGAAAAATTCTGTCTTGGAGAATTCCCTATCAGATTTGAGTGCTGAATTAGAAGCTATTAGAGGGAAATTGAAGGCTTTGGAGTGCTCCTTTCAGTCTCTCTTAGAGGAGAAATCTAGTCTCACCAGTGAACTGCTAGTAAGAAATGAGAACTTGGAAGATCTCTCAACGAAGAATGCTGTTTTGGAGAAATCACTTTCTGATGTGCATGATGAACTTCGAAACTTCAAGGAAAAATCAACAGCCTTAGAAGGGTCATGTCAGATATTAATGAATGTGAAATCGGATCTGCTTGGTGAACAGGAAAGATTGCTCAATCAGTTGCAGACGGCGCTGCTGAGACTGGAAAGCTTGGGAAAAATGTATGCAGATATTGAACAGAGATACTCAGCTTTGGAGAAAGAGAAGGAAGAGCTAATCATATCTTTAGACAAAGAAAAGAATTTGCATGCAAGTTTTGTTCAGATGAGTAACACACAATTGGCCGGTATGGAATCTGAGATGCTTCTTTTACAAGAAGAATGCCGGTTGAGAGCAAAAGAAAATGAAGAAGAACTGGATAAAGCTTTTGATTCTCAGATTCAGATTTTCATCTTGCAGAAAACTGCACAAGATCTTGATGGACAGAGTTCCTCTTTGCTGACTAAATATCACAAACTTTCCGAAGCGACTGCATTTTCTGAGAAACTGGTTTTGGAATTGGAACAGAGAGACCAGCAACATGTTCTTGAGAATTCTGTTCTTGTCACATTGCTGAGTCAACTAAAATCGGAGGCAGAGAATCTCCATGCAGAAAAGACCTCTATTGAGCTAGAGTATACGAGTAAATCTAATCAGGTTTGCATTTTGCAGAGTGAAGCTATTAAAATGCAAGAGGCAAACGAAGAGATGAAATCAAAAATAAAGGAGAAAGATCGCAATGAGAAGCTTCTAGCAGTTGAGATTGATAATCTGGGAAGCAGTTTGAGGTGTTTGCAAGGAGCTTACAATGATTTACAGAGAGAGAACTTTGAGCTTTTAGAAGAGAAGACTTCAATGGCAAAGGAGATATCTATGCTAGAAGAGGAAAACATTACAATCTGTGGTGAAATCCTCTCGTTGGAGTGCATTTCTATGATTTTCAAGAACTGTGTCAGCGAGAATTCTTTGGAATTAAAGCTGCTTTCTGCTGATCTTGACAAGCTCAATGATATCAATAGCGAAAAGGGTGAAAAGCTAAGCTTAGCTGAGAGGATGGTGGAAGAGCTAAAGCTTGAAAATCTCAATCTGACAATGGCATTGCAGAGGTCCGAAGATGAACTGAATACCACTAGACTTATCAAGAGTCATTTGGATCATGATATTGAAGTGAAGAATATTTCAATGTTAGAAAAAGAGCATAAGATTCAGGAAATAGAGCAAAAACTGAGTCTCATTGAGAACGAGAAGTTGGAGTTGCATCAAAACTGGGAGAGCCTGGCAAGAGAGAGCACTATAGCTAAAAGGACCACAGAGGATCTAGAGAAGCAGATAGTGGCATTAACCAAAGAATGTGATTATTTGGGGACAGAGAATGGAAAGATGAAAGAGCAAAAGGAAGAATTACATTCTGAGCTCCAAATGCAAATGACAGAGATTCACACATTAGAATCAGAGGTGGAGGACCTGTTTGGTGAAATGCAGATCTCTACTTTTTTCCATGGCTTATATGAGCAGAAGGTTCTTGAACTCATGAAAGTGATCGAATGCCTTGAAGCTGAGAGCACGTCAAAGGATATCGATATCAATCTTCTGAAAGAAAGAGCGAACACTATGGATGCTAATAATGAAGGTCTTAAGACTCAACTCTTGACTGTGAATGAAAGACATGGTGCTGAGATTACTTCGAAGGATATTGATATTGAACTTCTGAAAAGAAGAGCAAACAATCTGGAAGCTGAAAATGAAGGTCTTATGACTCATCTGGAGAAGCTGTTTGTTGAATTGCATATCTCCACTGTTTGCCATTTTTTGTATGAGCAGAAGGTTCATGAAGTCATGCAAGTGAATACAACTTTTGCATCTGAGAATACTTCTAAGGAGGCCAATATCAAACTTCTCAATGCAGAAAATGAAAATCTTAAGAGTCAACTGGCCTTGTGTCGCCCTGCTATTGCATCTTTGATCCGATGCATATCATCACTGGAGAAGCACACTTATGGGAAACTTCAAACTCCCAATAAGGATGTGATTGAGGTAACTTTTTGTTGTTGTTGCCTATTTTCGTGTTTGGTTGGGGGATTTTTAAAGGAAGGGGATGGTTGAGAAGAAAGTAAAGATGTGAAAAAAAAAGGAATGCATGATTTAACTAAAGATATACTCTTTTTGTTCCGAAAGAAATTTTACTTTCAGTATTCACACGATCAAACTAATTATCTTTCCTTACCCATTTTCGTCACTCATTGGCGTCACCTCACGTTTTATAAAATTTTTGATGTAGTTTTTGAATCTATAAAGTTAATCTTTTACTGGCACACCAATGTTTAGATAAATTGAATAGAAAATAACTTCAGTCAAACATCATAAACCGTTTTGTCAACTTTATTTAGGGACAAAAGGAGCTGGACATTATGGAATCAAAAAAAGGAATTCTCCAATGTTTAATATTTTTATCACATCCTTGTTAATATTTAGGCAGTTGAAGTGGAAAAGAAGCATACTGGTTCAGGTGAAGAGAGAAATGCCACCGAGATGGATGCATTACAAGATCTGGTAACACGGATTCAGGCTGTTGAGAAGATGCTGCTCAAATCTGAGCAGCTTGCAGTTGAGGACAACCTTAACCTCAATGCCAAACTGCATGCTGCATTGAGACAGATTGAAGATTTAAAGGCCGATGGAAGCCTGCTGGGTGGGGCCCACCCCAGCCGTCGCCAGCCTGAAATTCTTGAGGGCGAAAACGGGATATTGACAAAAGATATCGTGCTCGACCAGATATCTGAGTCCTCACCTTATAACATGACCAAAAGAGAGCAACTTGAAGCTGACAGCCAACAAATTCTTGAGTTATGGGGAACTTCCAACGCGGCGGGCCCCACCGGTTCAGATGCGCTGTCCGAGAAAGAATTGGGAGTGGACAAACTGGAGCTGTCCCGGCGCCCTTCTGATCTTCGCGATGGAAACAATAAAAAAGTCTTGGAGAGGCTTAACTCAGACCTCTTGCAATTGACAAACCTACAAATCTCTGTCATGGTGCTGAAGAAGAAACTGGGCATTACTGAGAACAGCAGAAGAAGTGGAAAATTGACAGCTGAGGACGAAAACCTGAAGGCACAACTGGGCGAAGCAGAGGCTTCCATGCAAAAGCTGTTTGACAAGAACGAGGAAGTGAGGAAGAGATTCGAAAGCGGGCCCCACCCAGACAACGAGAGGAGAATCTCAGAAGAAGCTCGAAGAATGTCTGAGAGAATCGGGCGGTTGCAGTTGGAGGTACAGAAGATACAGTTTGTCCTGCTGGAACATGACGAGCACAGGAAAGAGAGCGAAGGGCAAAACAGTAAAATCTCCGAAGCGAAAAGAAGAGTTCTGCTGAGAGATTACCTCTACGGCGGAGCCCGGCCTAGCCAGAAACAAAAGAAGATGAAGAAGAAGTTTTGTTCATGCATCCAGCCTCATACAAGAGATGATTAATGCCCCATGCAAGGAAGGTCATGTAATATTAGAATGAAATGATTTTTTTTACCTCTTACTCCGGGTATCTTTTTTGTCCATAAACCTTAAATTTGTAGACATTCTATCTAGACAGACAAGAAATGTTTGTATTGTTATCCATATGTATTTTGTCTGCCCAGAGTTACTGCAGTAAATTTTTGAGGCTGCATCAAAGCTGGAACAATAAGCTAGCTGCCTTTCTTATGCACATATGTTTAAGAATTTATTTCTAATAAAAAAATTGCCAACTGCTACTAGAGTAATAAAGATTGATCTAACCAAATACTACTGCATCATAGGAGATGTGGACTTTTTTTTGGTAGTTTTGAATGCAAGACAGCTCTATCTATCTCTATAAGTCAATAATAATAATAGTAATAATGATAATAATAATAATGACAATTAAATATCACATTTTCCCTAATCTTTCCCCTTCACATCCCACCACCTACTACATTTCTTCTCCCTTCTCATTTTAACCTCTGCAAGTCCAATTAGATTAATGAATGAAGTTCTGAGTGCGATCATACCAACATTAATGCATTAGATTTTATCGTAACTCTTAAGTCTGTTTGGACATCATGATGTATGACTCTTGAGAAGTCATCATGTCTAATCAATTTTCTTGATGAACGTAACTTAACTTGTTAGTATCAAGTACCGTAGAGGATATGCAAAAATGAACATACAAATTCAAAATTACTTTTTGTTTGGACTAAAATTTCTGTGTACTTTTTTGGGGGGTTCATGTTTTTTTATTCTTCTTGCATTTAATATATCGTTCCAAATGACATTGTTGAAAACTTTAAGTTTAAGCCATACTTGGGTGCATTAATTCAAACAAACTACGTATGTTTTCATTAAAAGCTACCGAGCATTAAGGAACTTACCCATATTCTCCCTCCGTCCAAAAATTATCTTCTCGTTCGCTATTCAAAGGATCAAATTTAATTCACTTTATTAGCTTATTTTAGTTACCATTTGATAAAATAATTTACTGATGTCATCTTTAATTTTGTAGATTTTTTGATATAGTTTTTTAATATTTAATTTTTAGTTTTTAGTTTCACACCATTTTCATATAAAATGATTTGAACATAACTTCAATCAAATATCGTAACGTGCAACGAAAAAATAATTTTTGGACAGAGGGATTACATCATATGTGATATAATTTTTTTTATTTCGTATATACTTTCAAAAAATGAAAGATATGTCTGAATACTTTAAAGTTTGGAAGATCTTACATACTCGGTAAATATGGAGTACATACTCTCATAACTACTATTGTACAAGAATTTATCAAGTACGGAGTATTTATAAGATAATCATGGTTATCCTTCTTTTTGTGAATGACATGTTGGTTATTTCATGAGTGCTACGCTTGTGTCACTTTATTGATTCGATCATATTTCCTTAACACTCTATTTCATGAGTTAGTTCTCTAAAATTTAGAATGCGTTTTTAAAATAGAAAGTAGTATGGATAAATGTCACGGAAGAAAAATATCATGCTCCAATATAAAAAGTCAAACGTTAGCATTGTACTTTCAAGAACTTAACTAAGTCGTGTTACAAAATTACTTTAAAAAATATGGCTAAATCAAGGTCCAAAGAGGTGGCACAAACGTAGTGCATTTGTGTCACATCGATCATGCTACGGGCATATCAAAATGGTGCATCTCATTTGTATACCAGACAATTTAGACACTAAATTTTATTCTTTCTTTTTTTCTTTATCTTTATGTTTCCTCACCTAACCCCACATCCCAACCCCATCCCATCTCTCTCTCTCCTACCTGTCCTGAAGAGGATTGTTTATCACGCTGGCTTATATTGTCCGTGCACTCAGCTGTCCTTTTCCAGAATCTCAAGGAAGAAAAGGGAAAATAAGGGGGGGAAAACAGTGGCATTTCATCGAATTTGTCAAACAATACGTTTGACTCTTTGTCGCCCAAGATTTTGGTGTAGCCATTGAAGTGAAGGGGCACCCCACTTTCTTCTCTTACCAAATTTTCCTTTTTTGAATTCCATCTTTTCAAGCGGCGTCGCTCTTGCTTTGTTTCCAATTTCCCCCATTTCTTTTTGCCTCCTACAAAGTCTTACCCACTCTCCTCAATAAAAATGTCCATTCCAAGAAACAAATTGCAACCCTCTGTAATGGTGTGGCTTAGGGCGAGGATCTCTTTCCCCTGATACTTCTCACTGTTCCTTGCCTCCTTTCAGCTCCAAAGTTTCAACCTTTCAGGTAGTTTTTTCCATTTCTTTTCGCCGCTGCCTTTAATCTTCATTAATGGTGGAACCCTTTTTTTCAAAGTGAATGATAATTTTGAAAAAAAGTATTGATTGGTTGGGGGGTGGGCATTCTTGAATTACTGTTAAATGTTACAAAATTCTCTTTACATTTGGTGTGTTATTTTCATTATTGCTTGTGATAGCAGTTGGTAGGCGAGCCCAAGAAGGGCAGAAATGGAAAACTATGAAATAATGGGGCAGATTGGAAGAGGTGCTTTCGGTTCTGCACTGCTAGTGATGCACAAGCAAGAAAAGAAGAAGTGAGTTGCCTTGCATTGTTTAGTTTGTACTATGTGCCATTAATGTTTAAAATTGTTTACTTGCCTCATATGCATTTGTTTTATCATTTTTTCTTGTTGATATTTTAAGGTATGTGTTGAAGAGAATACGTCTTGCTCGTCAGACCGAAAGAACTCGCAGATCTGCCCACCAGGAGGTGACATTATGTCAAACTGTCATCCGTTTATCTTTTGCAATTTTTGTCTTGATGGCATTATGTGATACTCCGTAGATAACAATTACGAGTATAATAATTAGTGTGAGGTTTAATAAGTTAAGGTGCTGCTGTAAGAACATCTCTTAGGAATTTTGAGCTGTAGATCACAATTATGAGTACAATGAAGAGGGCAAATTTGGTTGACCTGTTTGAAGTTATTGGTGTTGTTGTTACTTGTTAGAACATTTCTTGAGATTTTTTTTTTAATTTTTGGGTGTTTGTTTGTGCTTTTTCAGTAGGGATGTAAAACTACTAGTAAGGTATTTTTTTATATATAAAAGCTAGGGTATTTGAGAGAAAGAGAAAGTAGGTATTTTATTTAAAATTTCGGGGCAAATTTGTGAGAGGATGTCAAATAAATGCTACACGGCTACAATATACATTGTATTTAATCAGCTCCAATTCAGAGCTGTTTAAGCTCCATTTCTGTTTTCAACTGCAAACGCAGATAAAAACACTTAATGACTTACACAAATGGCACCTTAATCTGTTTTTTGATTATGGAATTTTGCATCCATTGCCAATGGAGCTAAAAGTCATAGTTTGGAATGAAGTGTCTGCCCATCAGTGTTGTGTTTATCTCACATGGATAAGTGCTATTGTAGTCTTTTTAATAATTGTCACTCTAAATGTGTCAAAAATGGCCCGTGCCTGACTTCTTGTTTCCAGATGGAACTTATTGCCAGAGCAAGAAATCCATTTATTGTGGAGTACAAAGATTCTTGGGTGGAAAAGGTTTGTCCTTTCAAAAAAAGATACTCGTAATGCTCCGTAATAATTATAAACAGTGTTCATGATAACTTCAACATTTTATGCAGGGATGCTATGTTTGTATCGTAATAGGGTATTGTGAAGGAGGAGATATGTAAGTAAATATCTATTCTTAGATATTTTAGGACCATTGAAATGTAGACATCAGTGTGATCTCTTGTATTTCTTATTATTTGATGTCACCGTTTCCTTGTGTTGTTATGTAGGGGAGAAATCATTAAAAGAGCAAATGGGACTCTTTTCTCCGAAGAGGTTAATTGGATTACTTTTTTTAAATAAAAAAGTATTACTGCTGGTTTTTTTCTATTGATATCATTACTACCCAAAGTATTTAACAATGAGCAGAAGCTTTGTAAGTGGCTGGTTCAACTGTTGATGGCTCTTAACTACTTGCATTCAAACCATATTCTTCATCGTGATGTTAAGGTTGGTGCCATGTATTTGCATAGTTTTAACCCTACTTTATTAGATCATGCTCACAAGTCACAAAGTAGGGCTATTAACATCTTTTTCTTCCTAAAAGTTTACTTTTACAGACATGGATTAAATACAATCCTATTTGACGTCGTTAAAGTTGTAACCTTGTTGATGCAATTCATTTGCAGTGCTCAAATGTATTTCTGACTAAGGATCACAATATACGTTTAGGTAAAAAACCATTTATCTTTTTCCGTATTGTTCAAGTGTTGTGTCATCATTGTTGTTAACGTGAGGTTTTAATCCTATTTGTGTTTGGCTGCAGGTGATTTTGGTCTTGCTAAGGTTCTGTGTTCTGGTGATCTTACTACTTCTGTAAGTAACTCGGCAATGGTCACTCAAAGTCATATTCACTCACACACACACTGACACACACACTCCTTATGGGCATGTTTGGATCCCAGAAACTGCTTGGGAAAGGAAACAAAGTCCAAGAAAAGTTATTTTCCTATGTTTGACTTTACCTTGGAAAATTTAAAGGAAAAAAATTGATTATTATATTTACATATGTATAGATTTCTAATGTCTTGGTAGGGTTTGGGATTTTATTGGGTTTGTTGTTGTTGTATGGATGTTTACATTTCTTAGTGTTTATATGATAAAAATGAATAATTAAGTGAGTTTGAGCAAATATGTAAAAGACAGAGTTTGAGCCTATACTCCAAAATATATTTCTGTACAATTTACCTTTGCTATAAATTGCTTGTACTTTGCGAGTTCCAAACGGGCCTTCTACGTACTAATATTATGCATACGGATAGGTGGTAGGCACTCCAAGTTACATGTGCCCCGAGCTTCTTGCAGATATACCTTATGGTTCAAAATCAGACATCTGGTCTTTGGGTAAGTAAACCATTCTTTTTAACCTTTCAGCTAAATAAAAGAATGATATATATACACACACACACACACACACACACACACACACACTTTGTACTTTACTTTGTACCTTGTATATATTTGCATGATTCTATGCTGAAAAATGTTCCCATTCAACCTAAATGTGAACCAGGCTGCTGTATGTATGAAATGACCGCTCACCGTCCTGCATTCAAAGCTTTTGTAAGTTAAAACTTTTCTTTTCAGTAAAATGGTTGAGTTATAATCTTGTATATTCATTTTTGCATCCCATTTTATATAGTTTATATACAGTATATATATAAATGTCTCAGTTCCTGAACTTGCTTAATGATGCAGGATATGCAAGGTCTGATAAATAAAATAAACAAATGTATCGTGGCTCCATTACCAACAATGTATTCTGGAGCACTGTGAGTTTCTTTGCCCTCTATTTTTTACGGAGTAAAAATGTTTTAGACTAGTTTTTTTAAAGATATATGTTGAACTAAAAACCGACTGATTGATTCTTTTTGACCAGTCGGGGGCTGATTAAGAGTATGCTGAGAAGAAATCCTGAACACAGACCAAGTGTATGTTTTTTCTTGCTTCCCTTTGTTGTGTTAGGACTAATTATTAGCTTTAGTATCCGTTTCTTAGCGTTTCAAGAATGATATGTTGTTTAACTTTAGCTTTTTCAAAGTTAATCCGCGTCATTAAAATTTTATCCAAGAACTCTGTTAGAACTTAGAATGGCTTCCTTTCCAAAAAAAAATTCTTACAGGCTGCAGATTTACTGAGACACTCTCATCTTGAGCCGTACGTCATGAAGATCCGTATGATATTGGAGAGCCCAAGACGGCACACGCTCCCGGCCCACTCCAGCGGCCCAAAGTATGTAAAGAAAACAAGATTTGTGGAGGAACCCGGAACTGTAAATGGACGGAGGAGATCATTTTGCAGCGACCGGGCTTTGAATCCGAGTGTTTGTGGGACCGAATTGGACACCCGTGGTTCGTCTCAAGAAGTTGTGAGTTCTTTGAGGATAAATTTCTCTGAGCCATCAGTTGGGAGCAGTGTCAATGACACAAGCATGAAAAGGAGTGCCATGAAAACCCAAAGAACAACCTCTTATAATATAACCTCCTCAGCTGCCCCTACTAGGGGACACTCAAATGCATTGAGGATATCCAACCCGGGTTCAACTCGCGAGCTGGTACGTTTGGTTTTTGAACCACTGGTCTTTTGTTAATGTTTTTGAGTAGTTGGTTCTTTAACATGGTATCAGATGTTCGTTCCGGGCCTACAATCACAAGCTTGAGCTTTTGGGTCACTTGTGTATCTGCTTGTGCAGCTTCCGGTGTCGGTTAACAAACCGTCCCAACCAACCCGAAGATCATCCCTGCCGTTGCCCACAAGAACTCCAAAAAATCCGGGCCCACCTTGCAAACCAAGCACCGGGCTGCTGCTGCTTCACGGGGCGGACTCTCTGGACATTTCGGTCAACGCCCCAAGAATCGACAGAATGGTGGAGTTTCAGGACATGTCAAGTGTCCCAAAAGACAAAAACACTGTTCACGACAACCCTCCGGACGAGGAGGGATGTGGGTCTAGGACCAGGAGTCCTACAAATTGCAGCAGGTTCGACACGTCTTCTTACAAGCAACGGGCGGAAGCTCTGGAAGGGCTGCTGGAGTTCAGCGCGCAGCTGCTGCAGCAAGAACGGATAGAAGAACTGTCCGTTCTGCTCAAGCCTTTCGGGCTGGAAAAGGTCTCTCCCAGGGAGACTGCCATTTGGCTCACAAAGAGTTTCAAGGAGAATGCCGCTTAATTAATTATTAATCCGTAATTATTAACCTTTTTTAATTTTTGTTTCTTGCTTTGTATTGACGACACCATTGACGAAAAGAAGAGTACATGAACCACTTGTTCATGGAAAACCAATGGAGAAGGAAGTATGTTATACAGTACAAGACACATTTCTCCAATTTAATTGTGCTTATTAATTAATGGTTTTTTTTCTTAAATTTATATTTTTGAACATTTCTTTGAATGAGGGAACGTGATTTTCCTTTGGGTTCGTGTGTTTGTGAACTTTGATGTTTTGTTATGCTCATGTGTCATATTATCATTAGTGAAATTGTATGATCGAAAATGGTATTGAAGGGTGAAATAACATCGAGTATTTGTTTCATCTAAACAAATTTTAACTTAACGTTTCATAAAATTTGTAAAAATCAAACGGTAAAAAAAATTTGAGACGATTTTTGATAAAGCAAAGGATGATTTAGTGGTGATTACTGATTAGATACTTCTTTCGTTTATTAATTTCTTTCTTTCTTTTTTTGGATCGTTCAAAAATTTATATCATGTTTTCTATTAAATTTATATATTTAAAAACCACATGAAAAGTTTTTCGAACTAAAAGGTGTCAAGAATATTTTATTTTATCAAATAATTAATGAAAACGTATAAATAAATAAAAATTCCCACGACTATTGAAAAAAAATGTGGCATTCTTTTAAGAACGGAGGGAGTATTAATTACTCGTGCACCCAAAACCATCTCAAGTCTTAACCACAATTTTTTGTATTTGAATAAAAAATCACGGAGTAAAATGTTGATAAAAATTATGTGGTTAAATGAATAACCATGCTAGGGGTACACCAACTAGTATAACCCAAATTTTACACCAAAGTTATGCACATACATTTTATTGGTTTATATGGGCACAAAATGTTAGTGCGATAAAAAGAGTTTGCATTATTTTTTTATATCATGTGAACCATCACATTAGCATTACATTAGCACAAAATGTTGAATAAAAACTAATGCGAAACATCTATCTTATTAATTACTCTAAGGTGCACCCAAAACCATCTTAAGTCTTAACCACATTTTTTTTATTTGAATAAAAAAAATCACGGAGTAAAATGTTGACAAATATTTTGTGGTTAAATGAACAACTATGCTAGGGGTACACCAATGAGGCAATGAGTATAACCCAAATTCCACATCAAAGTTATGCATAAACATTTTGATGGTTTAAATGGGCACAAAATGTTAGTGCGATCAAAAGAGTTTGCATTATTTTTTTATGTCAGTGTGAACCATCACACTAGTATCACACTAGTACAAAATAAAAGTACACATCTCTATAAAACAATTTGAGCTACAAATTTTGGTATACAAGTAGTTTAATACGGGACACATTGTGTATCCCTAGCATTGCTCTATTTTCTATTGTAATACTTCATCCATCCAAAAAATGTTATACAGAGTAGTTACTATTTTGATCTTTCGATTTTTTTATTTACTCGTTTTCAGTGATTATTTCATAATATAAAATATTTCTGTCAAATCTTATTTTATAGAGCATTTGATGTATTTTTGATCGCTGTAATATGTATTTTTTTATTTAATATAATTTTAAAAGAGATAAAATATTACACGATTGAAATGTGATAAGCATCTTGGGACATAAGGAGTATATCAATAAAAACTTTTTTTAGGGAATAAAAACTTATTTTACTAAATTTAGCGTCACTTGCTATTCAAGAATATAAACAATGAGTTAACTGTACTCTTGTTAGAATATAAATAACTGTTCCTGGGCCACAACTACAAGCTTGAGCTTTTGGTTGAATGAGTTCTTTGACAACTCTGTCCGTTCCTTAACACGACTATCTTAGTTTCTAGTAAAAATTGTACTTTGTCCGCTATTTAAAATATTTCTCCTTTTGAATTCTAATAGATTTAAGGATCAAATATTTTTGTATTGACTTCCCGAAAATACTTTTGATATGATGATTAAAAATATGATGCGATAGATAAATTATTAGTGAATATATATAAGGTGATAGATAGAGTAAGAATTAATAGAGGTCGTTGGAATTTAAACAGCCCGATGGGCTTCATCCGAGCACATTTGAAGTCTCTCTCTCTCCTCTATCCTTTCCCATTTCTTTGCTCTTCTCTCCTCATACTTATAGCAGGATTTGGCGGGAGTCCCCTTGGCGAAAAATCTTGGCATGGGTCTATAGCGGGAATCATTGTGCAATGGTTGTCGGCTGCCGCATGCGTCAGACATCGCCCTCTGCATTAAATAATCGTACGACAGACATGATTGATGGTTGGTCACCAAGTTGATTGCCTAACCCCGAGCGGGCCTTGTTCGGTTGTCGTTGGGTGAATGTGAAGTGGTGATCTTCCCAAGCCTTCCTCGACCTCATGGGTTCATCAGGCCTAGGCGCGCTCAGTCCCGACGGTTGGTCTAGTCGGGGCTTGAGAGACGTGCGCCTGGTGAGGGCTTCGTGGGCCACTTGTGAGCCCTTCTTTGCCATGGGCCCTTGTCCTACATTGGTTGGGCCTTTATCCCGGGGTTAAAAGTGGTTTTTAATACTTCCTCCGTTTAGTAAAACAGTTTCTACTTTGACTAATGGAAGAAATAACGAGTACATATTTGTAATTAGTTTTTCAATTTTATTCTTGCTGTGATGAATAAAAGTAAGATATGATGTATGGATTATTAGTGAAAAAATATGAAGTAATAGATATGGCACAAATTAACAATAATAAAACTTATTTCTAAATAAAAAGTGGGAGTGCTTTGGTGAAAAACAAAAAGTGAAAGACTTTTAAGAGACCAAAGGAAATACGGAGTATAAGATAATTGATGTTGGCATTTAATTAGATTTTCCGTTTTTATTTTTCATATACCTTAATTAGTATTCTTGACTTTTTTTATTTTTTACTGTATGAAAATAACGGATATAATTGATCTCTCTTCCTCTTCCTTTTTCTTTTTTTTTTTTCTATTTTTTGCGTGGAAAGAGGAAAAAAAATTACTCCCTACTTCCTTAAGGGGCAGGCGTTTAGAAAATATGACACATTTTAAGAGTCATGATAAAGAATAGTCCAAACTATAGATTTCTTTGGTCAAAAATCAAAAGTAGAAACACCATCATACCCCAGAGACCTAAAGTTAAACTTATTTTTAACTTCTTTGTAATCAAATGCATTTATTGTTTTCCTACCAAAATACATTTTTTATTATTAATTTTTTTGAAATTTTTTATTAATTACTTAATTAAACTTACATATTTCAAAACAAAAAAAATTGAACCATAATGATATTTAATAGCACTATTAAGGGATCTTTTCTTGAAATTAATTTCAATAATGTTTGTTTATTATCATATAGTTTTATTTAATTTAGTTCGATATGTTTTTGGGCGTTAATTAAGGATTATTCATCATTTCAGTTTTCTTTTTTTCCTAAAAAAATTACTTGAGTGTCTGTATAGCCATTTAAACATTGTTGTACTATAAATTACTATACATTAAGTGACAAAAAGTTGTTAATTTAAAAACATTCCTTTCATTTTCAAATAAATGTCCTTAAAAGTAATTTTCATCAAATAAAAAATTATCTTAATCTATCTATGCTTGCTAATATCATTTATGCTCATTCTCGTCATACTTCTTTTACACACTAAATAAGTGAAATAGATCAATTAAAACTTAAAACCAAAAACATTACTCGTAATGTTAAAGAAACCAAAATGATCTTAAAATGTTTACTTTATTATGTTAAAGATTTAATATAGTCAAATATTTGGGAGTAATTGAAACGAGGGTAATGTAAATACGAATACAATTCTTACTTTATGAAAAAATTAATAGTTACATTGAATACAATATTTTTTTCCTTTGTGAGGAGTTACTAAAAACAAAAGATAGACTTAAATTTGATTCCTTAAAACATTCTCTATCCATTTTTCATCTAGAGTTAGGGCCATAAATTTTTTGACACATTCTTTAATTAACTTGTTTCTTTCACACCACTTTAAAATGTTGTTTTATCAATTTTGAAAAAATTATCTATTTACATTGTTTAGATTTGATATTTTGAAAATTAAGTTGTCCAATCGAAAAATTATATAGTTCTTTCTCATTTGACTTTTCACTATATCTCACACAAATTGACAATTAACATTTTATTTTTATATTCATAGATTATATGCGTCAAAATGAATAAACCTATACGAAATTTATATCATAAATCAATATATTTTATAATTACCTGTTAATATCTTTTTTTATAATTTATAATCAAAATTTAAAAATCCCAAAAATAAAAAAAAGAAGAAGAAAAAAGAATGGGCAGACCCATTGCTTTTCCGTTCTTTCTTTTCATACTCCGCATTTATAAATAAGTCATCGGATCCTCAAACACAAGGATCAGAAATGGATTCCAGGTGGCGGGAGAGGGGCCAACCCGACGGCGTTAAGCTGCCGGAAAGCCCAGTGAAGCCCATAGAGTATCTGCCCAGATCACGGAGCGCCGCCTCCGCTATGCAACAGGTCTGCACCGCCTTACCGTCTCCTCCTCCCCCTGCTCCGGCCAATTCCTCCCTGTTTCCCAAGGTCACTCCGGTGGCCTCCGCCGACGACGACGCCGACACGGCGAGGCTCTCCGGAAACACATTCTCCTTCCGCGATTTGTCCTCAACCTCCCATCTCGTCCTTGAGCGCATCATGTCACAATCCGTAAGCATTTTTTAACAAGTTACAGTCAAAATTTATATAAAATTTGACAAAAAAAATCAAACTTTTTTTATGAGAGGGAAGAAATAATTCATTCTCCTTATGAATTGTATCAATTAGAAGATTATTTTTTTATTTATAAAATTCATCGTCTTCATCACGACCAGATGCAGAATGAAATAATGTCGCCGTTAACGTCGGGGAGGCTGTCTTACGGCAGCGAAACATTTAACGGTTCAATGACGGAAGAAACGGATAGCGCAACTCCAATCTCTCCCTCCGAGGAGTTCGAAGATGTCATTAAGGTAATTAGTTCTTAGTAATTTGTTTTGTCATTATTATTTTTTATTACTGTTTCACCATCACTTTAATCACTTATTAAACTGAAATTAGGAATTACTCTAAAATTGTACTCCCTCCATCTTTCATAGATAT